GTTTCCTGTGTGGCGATTCACGCATGAATTTCGAAGGGTATGAATGCTTGCACACATATTGTGTTGCGGCCGTGGTGGTAGGCTTGTTACCGCGAAAGCGCTTCTTTCCAGGGTTGTTTATTGTGTGGCGATTCACGCACGAGGCAGCGAGTACGAATGCCGGCCCGCACAACAAACGCAAATAGTAAGTGGCGGCCGTGGTTGGTGGTCTTGTTTTGTCCGAAGCACCACGGACTAGGGTTGTTGCCTGCGGGGCCATTCACGCATGAATGTAAAGAGGGCAAATGCCGGCACCTAACACGTAAACAGCGTGTTGCGGCCCTGGTTGGTGGGCTTGTTTTTGCAACACCACTACTTTCCAGGGTAGTTCCGTGTGTGGTGATTCACGCATGAATTCCGAAGGGTATGAATGCTTGAACCACACACACACATATTTTGTTGCGGCCGTGGTGGTAGGCTTGTTTCCGCGAAAGCGCTACTTTCCAGGGTTGTTTCCTGTGTGGCGATTCACGCACGAGGCAGCGAGTACGAATGCCGGCCGGCACAACAAACGCAAATAGTAAGTGGCGGCCGTGGTTGGTGGTCTTGTTTTGTCCGAAGCACCACGGACTAGGGTTGTTGCCTGCGGGGCCATTCACGCATGAATTCCGCGAGGGTGAATGCCGGCACCTAGCACGTAAACAGTGTGTTGCGGCAGTGGCAATCTAGCCCAAATCCGGCTTGTCCGCAGTGCGCACCCCCCAAGCAAGGTATACCTTGCAGAACCTGGCCATCATTGCATTGCGATGATTACCCAAGGTGGGGAGGTTGCAACTCGTGCCAAAATAAACCTCGATTCAGAATGGCAAAAGTGCCCCTACAACCCGGTCTGTTGGCCACCCGTGTAGCAACACGGCGCAGCGCCAGATATGTAGCAACATCTGGGCAGCTACTGTAGCGATCGAGCGGGGTCCAGAGCAACATAGCACTCGGAGGTAGCAACGTCGAACTGACGCACCTACGATTGGGTGAACAGCAACACGGCACAGCGTCAGAACATCTGGGCAGCTACTGTAGCGATCGAGCAGGGTGCATAGCAACACAGCCCTCGGGAGTGTAGCGACTTCTGACTGACGCAACGACCTTGTGTGGAGTATGTAGCAAAGTGGCACAGCGCCAGGTGTATGTGTGTTTGATAAAGTTACACCATTAGACCAGTCAGCGCTGACTAGTCTGATGGTGTAACTTTATCGAACAAAAGATATGCTCAGAGCTCATTTGCACCCGGCTGGATCACATTTTTGGGTTCGTGAGTAGAGATCTCCGGGGACGGACCCCTCGCCAGACGCTGCCTGAAAAGAACTTAATGGTGCTTGGGAAAGTGACCAGTCGGGTATTGAACCCGTGCGTGAATCCTTTATCGCCAAATGTTAAACCAATAACAGCCTAACATCTATAATGAGGATGGTGCTTTTCGTTGAGGATGAAACGCACGCGGAAATGTTTCCAGTAACTGCAAAAATATTTTTCCACAGAGACGTTTGTGTAGTAGAGCAGAGCACCCCACGGCGATTAGGTGTTGGTAGTGCCACCGGGGATGCCGTCTCGATCGAGCCGGTATTATTCTTGAATATTACATGCATGTATGTGTGCTCCTTCTTCATAGCAACAACAAGTCCATAACAGTTTATTATGGTGAATACGGCGCAGTACTAGGATTAGTAATACATACTCGAGTATTTGTTGTGTCCTCTGTGGCGGTGGATTTGTACTACGACATACCCTGAGTACCAAGAATACAGAGTATTTTCGTCGTCTCCGTTTTGTGCTTGGTGTTATTGTGCCTCTTTTCCTTTTTGTTCTCCTCCGAGCGCCATAATAATAACAATAACAATAATAATCATAATAATCGGTTAAACGGAGCTAGATAGACAAAAATTGTTCATTCATCATGTCGCATGGTCGCAGGCTTCCTCCTGCTGCTGCTGCTGCTGCTGCTGCTGCTGCTGCTGTGTGACAACACGCAGAGTTCCAACTCTAGTTGTGTAGTAGTAGAAGAGCCCCTGCCCCCACGAACGAATTCTAACCCGAAGACCAAGCTGCAGGAAAACTACCACACACAGCAACGTCAACGGCCGAACCGACGGACAGACAGGCTCAGACAGACATTTGATTTTCTTCGTTTCAAGTCCCCTCCAATCGAAATCTGACGCTCGTTCGTAAAAAGATACGGACAAAAAACAAATCGAAAGGGGTGTCATCACATTCAATCTTCATTCACGTTAAAAACTACGTGTTTCTTGCAGCTGTGTTCGACTTCATCAATCAATCGAAAATCCCCCGCTCCTCCTCCGCCTTCCTGCACCCACCCCGCGCCGTGGTCGTCCGGCCATGACCCTCCATCTATTCAGCCGAACCTCCCCGGCCCCTCACCCTCGCCGTCCGACCATGACACCCCATTCCCGCTCCCCTTCTTAGACATCTCTGTCTCATTCGTCGTCGTATTCCTCGTCCTCGCCCTCTGCTTGCCCTTTTTAGTCGTCGTCGCCTTCCTAATCCCCTTCCTCATCCTCTTCCTCTTCTTCCTCGGCCTCGTCACTTTCGTCGGACGAAGAACCACCCGCCCTGTTTCGAAGCTTACGACCTTTCCCACGCCCTCCACCCGTGGCCCTTAGTGGGCGCTTGCGCTTTCTGCCTGCCGCAGGTTGGGAGTCCGAGTCCGATTCCCGCTCTTCAAACCATTCACACCGCACCACAGCAAACCCCGGGAGAACGTTGAGCGGTGATCTCGGGTTGGTCTTCTACCTGGCTCGGAATACCCTCCCGATCATGGGCGTGGCGAAAGCTTGTCCCTCCACTCGGGAAAAAGGGCCAAGTACCTCAGCGCGACTCCCGGATTGTGGCACCTTTGACGTAAACTCGACGGTCGCCTGCTTCACGTCATTCGTCCAGCGCATGTAGTACAAGGGGCACGTGGGTGCCACGCGCAAGTAGAGCTCTGCGCCGGGCCCACATCCCTCCTTCCCGGGAACAAGCATGCGCTTGAGCTGGACGTTGTTGGCCACATGAAGCAACCGGACGCGCTGGTCTTCTCGTTCGTCAAGACTGAGTGAACGGAAGGCCTCTGGCCTGGAGTTGAAGACTTCTAACTGACCCCACGCCGGAAGGTCGTGCGAGTTCACGTGGTAGTCCATGTCCCGCCGCGGCAGCAAAAGCGCTTCCGAGGAACCCGACGGCCAGCCTTCTGGCGACTGAGTGTGTTGAACAAGAAGCCAACGGGAAAGAACGGGGGTGGCGGGAGGGAGGGAGTGCGGTTGTTTAATGTTCTTGTTTGAGCATTTCGGGTATCGTTCGATGGGTATGTTTCGCGAGTTTTTCAAGCTACGTGGGCGGCCAGCAATAAAAGACTCAATTCACCACAACCGAACACAAGAAGTATCCAAACCGCACATACCTCGAGGCTATAGCCGAATTCCTTCGCCAAGGTGGTCGCAACGCGGAGGGAAGCCTCGGCTTCTCCCATGGCGGGTCCCTCTTGGCTCATAGTCGAGTCAACGAAACGTTGTACCTCATGAGGGATGACGTTTGCCTCCAATCCCTAGAGCAGACACGAAGGGCTGGTCACACGCTCTTGCACGAGGGACGTGGATGCCTGTAGGATCAGTCAGGTGCATCACCGTCGTCACAACAACCTACCACTCGGTAAGTGCTGTTGAACAACATTTGTATGGGCAGGCCAGCTCGGCCGGTAGGGTTTTTTGGCGAAGCGTAAGGGAAAATACGCGTTTCAAGCCCATAATAATATCGCGCTCCGGCGTGGGTACATGCAGTCGCGCAACGTACCATAGTATCGCACGTCACCATGCGGAAAAAAACAAAGAAAAACAAACAGCAACGAAATACAGCTCACGCTTTTTGGTGCAACCACCATGTGCTTCCCTTTCTTGTACTCGCCGCAGGTAGATAACTGCGCCTCCGAGAGCAAGAACAACTTCTTCCTTGGCTATGCGGGTTTGTTGGTGGTGGCCAGCGTCATCCACGTAGTATAGATCAACTTGATGATGGTTGGCCACACTCACATGAAGATCGATCAATTATTCTCGAGGTGAGTGGGGTGACCATCCGCATATTCTGTTCTACCCCAACAAAAAAAAATCGACCACATATTCTAGTTGTTTTTTCCCGCTCTCTTTCTCCTTCTTGATTGAGGAGGTTTGTGGCGATGAAGCAAGTGCAGCTGGGCGCAACAAGCAAAGGCTACGTACATCCTTCCCTTCCTATATGTTCGTGTATTTCAAAACACATGATATCTCAAACTAAAGAAGCCGGTGTCGTCGTCGCGCAAAACGTTTAGCGCATTTTTTCCGCTGCCAGCCGAAAACACGTCACCGAGCATCCCCCCAGAAGACAACCCAATTACAGCTGCGCTTCTTGCACGGGACGCCGCCCGTTCGTCCAACACCTACATAGTCTACAGTGGTTTGGCACAAGACTGGAAATGAAATTTCCTGAGAACACTTGTGCCCCCTTGCACTGCTTGCGTCTTCAGGTTTTCCTGCGGCATCAAAGGGAAGAACATTTTCACGAGGACCCAACTAGCGGAAGTGCTTCAGGCGTCCTACACGGAGGTTCCAGTCATCTGCAGCACCCTGCGGAACGAGGGCAACTTCAAGCGACTCCTTCAGGGCCGCGTCAATCGTGTCCCAGACATCACGACCTACAGGGCTTCCGGGTTGAAAAAGGTGGTGATGGGCGGGTGAAGGTTCGGGTGAAGCATCACATGCACGGCACCGAATGGAAAGGGATTGGGAGAAACGGCGATGTCGACCCACACGCCCCTCCTCACGACCTCTTCATCGGCCATCCACCTCGCATCCAAGATGCTCCTCCCTACGAGCTCAAGGAAGTGTCCGATGAGGTCATCCGCAAGGTGGAGCAGCGTTACCTGGCATCGCACGAACGCCTGGCTGCGTCGTACCCACTGGGTGAGTCCATCACGTCGCGGGGGATTCAACGATTTATGCGCGGGTGGTCGGCGGTGAGAATCGGTAGGTTGTAACTCCATGCAAAGCGGCAACTTGAGGCAGACAGAGAGGGAAGTTTTGAAGTAAGCCTTACATGGCGACAGTTTCTTAACGGGAGACGAGACCACGAAAAACAAAAAATTCAGGTTCTAAAACAACACTTTGATCTTTCGTGCCATGCGCACGGCACAGAGAAGGTGGTTTTTTCATTTATGGGGATAGCTCTCGGGTCCGGGGCATCTTGTTGCCGTTTAGCTCTGACGTGCGCCGCGCTTTCTGCCTCCGCAAAGCTGCAGCCCAAGACGTTCATAAGATGCAACGCACACCACTGCTTTGCTTACCAGCGAGCGATCTACGTGGACGGGGTCTATACTCAAAGAAGGAACCTCAACCACGTCAAGCCATTGTTTCGGCTGAAGTTTCCTACCTTCGAATGGAGCCCAAGTACCTAAGGTAATCAACCTTTATTCCATGCCCACAGACTGTCCTGGGGTGCTCATTCCCGCTGGTGGCAATGGCCCCTCGATCTTTCTCTGTTGTCGACCCTCTACGCCCATGCCCCCATCCATCTTCCCAGACGGCGCAGGCGCGCAAAGAGCAAAGAACGAACAGATGGATTCCGTGGGGCCTCTCAAGGAGACGGGGCTGCCAGAATTCGACCTTCCAGTACACTGCCAGTACACTGGGTTCCTGACGACTACGGCGGAGCAGAATCTGGTGTCCGCAACAGCGATGAAATCGAAGAGGAAGACGGTTCGGGGGGCCCGGTGATCGTGGTGGGCGCGACGAAACGGATGCGTCAGACAGTGACGCGGAGGAAGCTGACTACTTTCGAAGGGGTCGTTCTCATGCCATCGGAAGGTCGGCCAATGATCGGGACGTCGATAGTGTCGAGGAGGGCAGTTTCGCCTTCTTCGTGGCGAGGGAGGCTCCGTTTTTGGTTGGTAGGATAGCTGCGGAGAGCGTTGACCGTGACGGAACGCAGGGTTTGGATCTGCACTGGTTTCGCCCGACCAACGACCACACGCGCGACAAAGCCGCGTCCCTGACGCTTGACGAGTATGGCAAAAGCACCTTCGTTGAAGGATACGTCATGACCGCTAGTGACGGCACTCGGCGAAGTGGGAAAGCAAAAAGGGTGAAGGATGTCAGCTGGGAACCCGTAGAAGGCATCGTTGCGACGTGCGACAAACTTGTTGGGAACGGCAGAAAGATTCCAAACAGGTTTTTGAAGGTGCTAAGGTCTGTTGCGGGGGACGACAGAGGTAGTGCGAGCAGTGGGTGAGAAGTACAGGGGCGACAGGGAGAGGAGGGGAGGATGGTGGATGGGATTGGTGAGGTTGAACGCCCCGCCATCATGGTGGACGAGAACGAGACTGGGGAACAACAGCCGGAGAACGAGTTCGAGAGCGCTGAGCACGATCAAGAGACGGGACGCGTTGTGACGAGTAGGCCAGGGGGGGGTGGTGGTGAGGAAGAGCGAGGAGGATCGTCCACCGGTGCAGGGGCAAGAGAGGAGTCCCTCCAGGGAGCCGTGGAAGAGCCCGCACTTGACGCGGACAGAGGAAGTGGCAGTGCAGGGGTTCGGAGGAGACCGCACTCAGACACGCAGCTTACCCAGCGAAACACTCGAGTTCGGTTGACGGCTGCACACTTTCGGCCCCGTCATTGATAGAAGTGTGAGTGAAGTTTCGGTATCCCCGCCATATTGTTTGTTCTCAATCAAGCATGCATGTAATTACCTATGATCTTCGTCTTCTTCTGGCGCCATTGATTGAATACGCTGATTGATGATGATGACAAGCACTGTGGTCGTACCCCGAGGAGTTGACGAGACCATGGCTGGATGGAGGAGGGAGCCACATCACGTGCGGAGTAAGATTGTTATGTGGAATGTGCAGAAATGATGACAAGAAATCTCCCCAACAACGATGAATCATGCTCATGAAATAGGACGAAAGTGGTGCTCCCGGGACAAAAGTGAAAAAGGAATAAAGCAGGTCGATCGAGGCTTTTCGTTCACGACAGGCAGCACGTCGTTTGGAGCACAACAATCAATCTCCGTACGTAAGTATATGGGTAAGTATATGGTTTGTGCTCAGTCAGTTATCTCTGCTTCCTGCTGCTGCTGCTGTTGATGCTGCTGCTTCTTACTTCATTAAGAATCATGTCATTCTTCTTCCCGTCTGCACTCATCATCATACACGCAGCGCCAAATGCACATCCTGTACAGACGCAGAGTACCTCTTGGCCCGAACATTTTACCACAAGAATATTTCCGAGAAAAAATATTTTTGCAGTTGCCGGAAACATTTCCGCGTGCGTTTCATCCTCAACGAAAAGCACCATCCTCAACATAGATGTTAGGCTGTTCAATAGACAAGTCAGCGCTGAGTATGTTAGTGGTTCAACATTCGGCGATAAAGGACTTTACGCATGGGTTCAATACCCGACTGGTCACTATCCCAAGCACCATTAAGTTCTTTCACGCAGCATCTGGCGAGGGGTCCGCCCTCGGAGATCTCTACTCACGAACCCACCAATGTGATCCGGCCGGGTGCAAATGAGCTCTGAGCATATCTTTTGTTCGATAAAGTTACACGATTAGACCAGTCAGCCTTTATCGAACATATTGTAGCAACATCTTGGCAACTTCTGACTAGCGATGGGACATGTGCATGGCCGCACGACGCCAGAGGCGTATCCGCTTCTGGGCAGCTAGCGATCAAGCGAGGTGTATAGCAACACAGCACTCGGAAGCAACTTATGACTGACGTACGATTGGGCGTAGACTATGGTGTGTAGACGGATTCCACTTCAGGAATACACGCACGAAAAAAAGGTGTTTCGCCAAAAAAACGTGTGTCAAGGTTCCGCCGCGCCTTTTCGTACGAATTTCTGCAGTCCAGTTCGTCTGTTTTTTGTCTATTTGGTTTTTTTTTTCCGCGCTTGAAAAAAAAAACTTTATGCGCGCACACGCACACGTCCACCTTACCGCACGACACGTACTCCGAGAGCACAGCTATCAATCCCTGAGGCAACTGGTGTGGAACCGGCACGCGTTGGGGTCATTTCCGGTGACCGTTTGTGTTTAAAAGAAGAGGAGGATTGGGGCCGGGTGTACCCGATTTTGGCCACCCCTCTTAAAAGAACTTGCGGGGGGAGTGCGTGGTGGGCGTGGTTGGGACAGCTTTTCATCCGCACCAGTGACCGCGGTAGCCGCTTCTCCTACGGCGGATTTCGTGTGCATTCCCGCCCCTTGAGGGAGGTAGCGAGTCATCAGTCACACCAGCGGTCAAGTGCTTGGAAGTCGGGGTTAGCACAGTTCACCCGGCGGCGTGAGTTGGGAGCGTGGTTTGAGTTGGGAACGCATTGATTGGAGTTGCGGCATTGCCACCACCGCCAGGACGAGGAAACGCTCCTCCTCTCCAGCCACCGCACACAGCAGAGCCGCTGTAACCATCGGCATGATTTGGCCATGCCTCTCATGCCGAATCTTACCACGCTGTAGGCGCCCCAATTGCTTCAGGACGTCAACGCGCGTGCCAACATCACGCCAAATCACACCGCCGCGTGTTCCGTGTTTGTTTGCGGAAAAAAAAGAAAAGAGGGAGTACCGATGTCCGGAAAAATATCAACAGCCCGGGGGGGGGTTCCAACCAGCACTAGCGGGGAGACAGCGAAACACGATTTTTCTACCGTCACCTTTTTAAACGCGTTTTTCCAAACAAGTTTTTTTCCGTGCGTTTTTTAGGTGGAATCCCTAGTATGTAGCAACACCGCCTACGAGTTATCGCAACATCCGCCAAGCGTAGACAATTTCAAATAAATCAGCCCTCGGCACTTACTACCCAGCCAGATGTATAGTCTATCGGGCATCGATAGATCTGCACCAAGAAACGAACCAGTAAATAACACCGGATTATACTTATTGAGAAAAAAAATATTAATGAGAAAATATTTGGGCAGGTTGGCGNCCGCCGCCAAGGACCCCAAACCGCCCCTGCTTCAACCCCCCCCCCCCCCTACACCCCGAGTAGACAAGATATTATGCTGAAAAGATGAAGATTTCCCCAATACGCCCTAACGTCGACACTCCTAGACTCTCCGTCAAGAGCATTGGATTGAAAACTTCAAACTAGGGTTGGCGTCATGAGGCACACCTTCAACTACATTCATACGAAAAAAATAGCCACATGGTACTTTCTCGGAAAGCCCCAGAAACCCAACAGATCAGCAGATTCGCGAACCCAATGATGGATCCCAACAGGCAACTCTGACAAGACCTGTGCCACAGGTGAAGGAAGACAAATGAGATAAACAAAAGCAGGGTCTGCTCCTCCCCAATTGATATCGCGAACGAACCGCCAGGTTGCAGCGTGTTTCCGCGCAGGCTGCCTTGAGAACAACAACCTTCTAAATTGGAAACCTACGTGAACGACCTCAAGCTCAGACACCAGCAGTCATCCTTTCGGGTACGTTGCCGACACCGCAACTTAGAAGTGTTCCGCCTTAGGTTAGGGTTAGTGTTGTCCTGCCATCCTCAGAGTTTGAAGCACCCGACGGTTTTTCTTCACCCCATCCGCCTGTTTGGGTGTCTGAGGTTGAGTTAGTCCCCTCGGTTGTGGGGTTGCTGTACTGAAGAAGACCCCGCGGTCGGGTTAGCAGCACGAGGAGATTTCGCAGATCGCGCCGTCTTCTCGGTCGCGATTGCAGGGGCAGCCGCGTTCTCCTTGTCGACGTCGTCGTCCTTCGTCGAGTGTTTCTCCCCCTGCCCTCCCGGCACTCCGTCCGCATGGCCACTCCCGTTGTTGTCACGGGGAGGGACATCATCAGTAGTGTCCTCGACCTCCGAGACATCAGACGCCTGGGTTTCCGGCACAACCGAGAGTTGTCCGGCGCGTATCTCGTCTGCGTTGGAGTGTTCTTCCTCAGCCCAGTCGGAGGTAACAACGAAGACCTCGTGGCTGGCGGGTGTCACAACGCGGACTGGGTGCAGTCGGCGGGAGCCCCTCGTAGCCTGAATAGTCTTCTTCATCTGGACCCTGATGGGGCAGCCAAGATTGCCGCTATCCTGAGCAATGCCATTCGCCCTACTTTCCCCACGCCAGTCATCCGGTCATAGCTAGACACGTCTTGCGGCACATACGTACTAAACACTACTGGGTAGCGGCAGTCTTCATCCGGCGCGCATTTCGCGTAGTACACCGGACACGTGGGGTCGACCCACAGGTAGAGAGCACTAGTCTGCGAACCCAAGAACT